CCAGCTTATTGGTTAATTTGTAACTTGAAGAAACTGTTAGAAACTTTATTTTTGGCCATTTCACACTTGCATACATCTTTCTGATCCAAGTGACAAAACGTAGTCACTGCCTGCCATCAAAAGGAAATTTGCCAGAGATGTCAGGGTTTCTCTCTTCCTCTGCCCTGTCCTCATCTGGATGTGGTGTCTGAATAGAGGAGAGATGAGGGTCATTTCACAGCCAGCGTCTTCTGTGATGCCAGGGTTTAGTTGTTGGAACTCTCTCCTGGGGCTCACAGCTAAGGTATTCAGAGGCAGTTTAACATTTATTTGAGGTTCTTGTTCCTTAGCATGAGTGACCTATTCTTTGGAAGACTGATTCCTTCACAGTTCCAGTGTTCTGTGCAGAATTTTACAGCTACAATGACTTAACCCAGGGAAATGCATGCAGCTTTGCCTTGCCAGAGGCTAGAAAGCCTTTCTGTCCCAGTGCATGCGCCTCTCTCTCTCTCTCTCTCTCTCTCTCTCTCTCTCTCTGACAAATCAATCATCCTCAGAGCTCTCCTGAGGGGAAAAGGCAGCAGCAGATTCTTGACCACACCAAGAATCTACTTGGTGATTTGCTGGTCTCTCTCCAACATATTACAGTTCCTCTAGATAGAGAATGGATAGGTGGATAGAGAGAGGCAGAGATAGATGATGGATCGAGACACATAATTGAAAATATACAGGTCACAGCAAAGCCTGGCAAGCTATCTGTGGCGTAATTGATATGCTAAAAACAGTAACAATAACAGGTCTCATTCCTCTGACCACGAAAGAGCCTCCAACTCAACAGTATTAGGAAAGACACATAAGGAGAGGCTGCTAAATTCTCAGGGTTGGGACAAATGCAGACATTACTGGCATCTGCTCTAGTAAATCGATGAACAACGGGATGACAGTGATACAGTCATACAGTGATACAAGGTCACAGGTTTCCTTTGTCCATCTGTCTTTTGGGGGTCTTCCAGGTTTCTATGTATTTCAAAACAAATGATCTAGTTATGTCATATGAAAACATGAAGCAGCTTACAGGTTCTGAGCTAACCTACAAGAGGAACAGTGAATTTCTTACCAAGTAGAACACCAAAATGTGATGTAAGAATCATTGCTGTCATCACATTTCACATTTCATGGGAGCTCATTCCTATAAGAATTTTCTACAGAAACTCTCTAGGGACCCATTTTGATGTAATAGTAGAAATCAAACAAATTCAAATACCAGCCTCATATAAATTCTGCAAAGATTTTGAAAAACATATGTACCCAAGACCCATCCAATACTAGTGTATTTTCAAAAATGCCATAATTCCTTGTTAAAATTATGAGTTAATATAGCTTCAATGCATATTAAGGGAAAGATGTAAGGGATTCATCCTTATATTTGTTTGAGAAAGACTGGCCATTTTCTCTGTGCTAGAAACTATTTCGAACAATAAAAGTTGAGTGATACAATTTCCATGTTATATTGTAATAAAGATTAGAGACAATACTAAATCAGTTATAATCATTTATCTATGATGTAAGGTGCTTGAGTGATTCCATAATAAACAAGGCAGAACCTTGGTCTCAGCAGGGCTAGGGGGCTTTCTGAGGAAATCACAAATGATTCCAGGCATAAGTGAAATAAGAGAATGAAAAATAGCAATGTATGAATGAAGATTACTTCTAGCTCAGACTACCAGATCAGAGGAGTTCAGAGAGGTGAAAGTGAAATCGAGGACTGAAATAAATTTTCCATTTGATCACGTGCATTGGGGTTCAGAAGTTGCCGCATCTTGTGTGTGTCAGGGACCATAGGCTCACTCGGGCCTAGGAACAGACTCTTCCATTTGAGACACTAACGAAAGGATGGTGTGCTGGTGTTCAGGGGTTACTTGATGCTATCTGTTTCACGTGTTCTTCACAGTCATAGCGAGAACTAGGGTGACAGGACCTCACTTTACAAGATTACAAACTCAGATCCAGAAAACTTCAGCAAATTGACAAAGTTTACAGGTATTTCAGTACAAATAGATTAATTCACTCCGATCTGTGAGGCGCAAGACCTTCAGCTGAGTGACAAACTATTATTATGAAAATTTTCTGTATCCTATAAAAGTCTTTTAAATATTTTCTCATCTCAACCACCGGTTATTTGAGATTTACACGTAAATCTGTGAGTTAACGCAGGGTGATATTTAAGCACCACAGGTATTAATGTGAAGCTGTGCTATTTTCATAAATATTTGCATTGGTTTAGCCTTTATTAAAATTTACAAAAATGAGATCTCAATGTCACGTTGTAGGTTAGAATACAGCTGTGTTCTTGTGATATCTCTATGACTAGAAAAACACTAAAACTGTAATTGAAATAACAGCAAATATCATTTCTAGGAAATTGCAGCTTTTCTGTTCACTTTGAGAGTATTTTCTGATATTGCTTAAAAGATTAAGCTACTATGTATGCTAGTCTTTCCCACGTACACTGTGTTTTACTATCATAGCACTAACTAAACCAGAATGCATTATAATGTTCTTGCTTAATGCCATGGGATGCAAACTTTAAACCTGTTAATGCCGATACATTGCAACAACGTGCTTTTAAGAGGAAATTTATTCAAATTTGAAAGTTTTATTTTACTTTGCTTTTGTTCTGTTTTGGGGTGGCTACACTCCTCATTGTTCAGGGGTTACTCCTGGCTCTGCACTCAGGAACTATTCCTGGCTGTACTCAGAGACCATATGGAATGCCAGGGACTGAACTCAGATCAGACTGGTGTAGGGCAAACACTCCACGAGATCATTCATCTCTCTCAGTCCCAAAGTTTTTTAATAAAGTTTTCTTCTACAACAGAATTTATTAAGATCCCCAGAAGGTTGTAGTTCCTTTTCTCCATTTTCCAATAATTGTTTCATCAGTTGTTGTTTATCATACTTTCCAGTTCTTTACCCACAAGAGTGCAGAATTATTTTTCTTACACTAGGAATGATACTTCATGGACTAATTCACAAAATTTTTCCCAACTTTCAAATTTTATGTAAATACAATAAACTACAAATGTCACCTCAGCCCACATATTTCTTGAGTACTTAAAGTTTTTATTCTACAATTAAATGTGTTTTGTATTTTTATTCTTCCCTAAGTACTTATAATAAGTACGCATAAAGATTTACCATGGCTTATTTTCTATCATTTACTTAGTGTAACTTCCCAAATCCTTCTATTTCAACACAGATTTTCTCAGTCTCATATAAAGTGATAGTGTCTGGGTCACCAATATCATGGTACCTGCTTGACCGTGATGGAAAAAATGTTCTTTTAGCCCATGGGATTGGATGTTTATGTCATAAATACAGAAAAAATAATACCATAGACATTGAATTACTGCAGCTGAAAATTATTCAAGAATGGGTTTAATAGATATGATCAGTTTAACTCAGCTCATTTCAAAAGCTATAATTTTTATATTATATATATTTAGTAATTTGAGACTCTTGTGTAACCCATTTTTTTAATTCAAACTCTAAATTTGGGAAATTGTGTTACTGGTGCTGGAGATTAAGCCACAGGCCCTAGATATTCATGGCAAGTGCCTTATCAGTGGACTTTGCCAGCCAAACTATGAATATTTAATTTCACTTTGCTTGGAGACAATAATAATAATCATTCTTAAATTACAATTACAACGAAAAGTGTTTTATTATCTTATTATCTCACATTACTATAAAGCTTTCTGTCCAGCAACTTAGTAGATTTTCTCCATAGTATTTCAATCACAGTAAGTATTGCACCTAATTTTATATCCCTTAAGAAAAAAAAAAAGGGACACTTAGGAAATAGTTTCATTCTAAAGACTGTTTTAAAAAAAATCCAAAAATCTGTGCATTTGATCTTTTTTACACTTTTCTCTTAACTGTATATCTATTCATAATATTCAGAATTAATATAAATTCAGTTTGAATCCAGCATCCCCCACGTTTATTGGCAAGACTTTCAAGAGCAATGTAAATCCACTTAAAATGTTGTATGTTTCAACCATTTCCATAAAAGTTTAATGAGTAAATGTTGACAAGTATTTTGTCATTATATTGTGACATGATAAAATATATTTGGGTTACATATAAAAATAATTTATGAAAACTTCTAAACTTATTTTATGTCCCATTTTCTAAAACTGTGAAAAAAACAATACATTTATACTTTCTTGGATTAATTTACATACGCCTAGTATCTGTCTAAATAGGAAATGATTTCAAGATGTGGTCTAGACAATAATTATAAATGATCAAACTAAGGTGAATTACAGAATATCCGAAACTTGCCTATTTATATAAATGGCATGGTTTGGTTTTCGTTTGTTCATTTGTAGTTTGCTTTTTGGGTCACAGCAGATGATGCTCAGTGTTACTCCTGACTCTGTACTCAGGAATTACTCTAGTCATGCTCATGGGACCATATGCGATGCTTGGGATCCATGTCATGCAAGGCAAACACCCTAGTGGTGATACTATCACTCTGGCCAGAAATAGTTGGGTTATTTTTTTTTTAAGTTTCTTGTCATAACCCAGATTCATCTCTTTATCTATGTAGAGTATCAGTACTTCATATATATTAATACTGTACTCTTAATATTTCAGGATAAAAAATGGAAAATAAAATAATATTATAAGGATCACATTCGGTCCTTCCGTTTATAAACATTAGAAGTGAGAAATTGTATCTATGGTATCAATATATATGTACATTGATATATATCATATATATATATAAAACATTTGTAAGTATCTATCCTAGGTGAACAGTTGAGAAATATGCTAGAGTTACAGGGATTGGCATCTAAGAATCGACGGTTGGCATCTCGGAAGCCAATCAGAAAGCTAGATGTCCATCCTTCCAGATGCTGGCGCTTCCCAGAGGGCCAGTAAGGCAACTTTCGCGCAGGGGAGCGCCCGTCGGCTAAGGCTCGAGCATCTTTCCGTGGGTACCAGCAGCATCCTTAGTAGTAGTGGGCTTGCGCGGTGGACCCAAAGAGATACGCCAATCTCCGGAAGCGAGGTCCCAGCTCGTTCAGGTAATCAAAATTTTCCTCCTGATCGGAGACTTCGGAGTCCAGGGAGCTCAAGGACCCCGCCAAGGAGCCGGTGCCCTCGAAGGCGAAGGTCTGCAGGGAGTCGAAGGGGGGAGCCCAGGGGTCCGTGTTGGCCTCGTGGAGCTTCTCCCGGATGAACTGGCGGAACTCGGCGGGGTCGGGGCCCAGCTGCAGGGACTGTCTGTACCGGCTCCGGATCTCCTCGCCCGCGCTTTTCCGACTCCTGGGCTGGCGCAGGACGGTCCTGCTTCTCAGCTCCAGGATGTCAAAGGCGTCCGTGTCCTCCTCCCCGCCGCCCTCGTCGTCGTAGCGGAAGATATTCTCTCGGAAATCTTCAGCTCTCTCGGGGCACAGAGTCTGCTTCCCTCGTTGTTTCAGAAATAAGATGAAAAGGACAAACCCTGAGCGAGCAAACACAGCAGAACTGGCATGAGCACAAGGGGGTTAGATTTAAGAGAGCCAAAAAATAGGGATGCGCTTCTATTGTGACATTACGGCAGAATAACAGCTGCTTCCATCCCAATTGTTTCTTGGGACGTTTGCAATCTTGGACCTAAGCTCCCTGTCTATTAGACAAGATATATATTTGCCATGGAAAATGTAAAAGGGAATTGAGGAATGACAGAAGCAAATATGGTCATCTCTCTTGGTGACGGTTTACCGGACACAGAAGAAAAAAAAAACTGATGTGCTGTTCTTGATGATGATAATAATAAAGTTGAAATCTGAAATTTGATATTTATGTATCTTGGAAGTAGAACAAAGCAGAGGAAGGAAACTTTTTTTTTTTTAATTTTTGGGTTACACCCAGCGATGCACAGGGGCTACTCCTGCCTCATGCACTCAGTAATTACTCCTGGAGGTGCTCTGGTGACCATACGGATGCTGGGAATGGAACCCTGGTCAGTTGTATGCAAGGAAAATGCCCTACCGGCTATGCTTATGCCTCCAGCCCCGGAAGGGAACATTTTCTAATCTGCATGAATAATGTCCATCTTAGTAACCAATGAGTCACATAAATAGACTGTGAAACTCAGGGGTCTGCACCATAGTCCCCAGGGAGAGAGAGTCTGTGCATCAGCGTTTTCTAAGCTAAACTTGATCTGCTACAAAGGATGCACGCCCAAGTATCAGGTATTTAAAAGAAGTTGGACTCACTGTTTTCATTGTCATGACGTAAATTGTTATTGTTCCCTCCTAAACAAACAAACAACAACAGCAACAAAAAATAGGGAATCTGACACACAGAGATGTCAATTCACATGTCCAGACACACAAAATTGAGAAACTAAAAACTTCTCTTACAGATCAGGAAGACGGTTCAGAGCCTGTGCTCCATTTTACAGTCCTTATTCATTTGGAATTTCAAACTCTCATGTATTTGAATTCTAACACTAGCATGTCTACAAGCATGTATTTTTTTCTCTATGAAAATCATCTTAATAATATGTATTGCTTGTAGACATGTAGTTACTGGTTTTGTAACTACATGTCTACAAGCAATACATATTATTAAGATGATTTTCATAGAGGAAAAAAATACATTTACTGCACTGTTTTTATATTTGTATTTAGACTTTGTGTGTGAGAAAGTTAGCTAGATCAGTCATCCTTCATTATGTGGAACTTTTCAGAACTTCATATATAAGATTTGAAACAAACATGAATCAATGCTATTAATATTATCACAGAAAAATACAGTAGGAAACATTATTTATAAAATATATATAGCTGTAGTCAAATAAGGCTCTTGAATTAAGTAAGGATACCAGGTTTACATTTATGTAATGAAATTTAAATTGGCGTGAGGTAAGTGGTTGGAATAGCAAGGTATCTTTTGATGTTTGTGAACAGAAAGCAGACTTGTGAACCTTTTAAAGGAAATGACTGATTATTGGCTGACCCATAATACTTTCCTTTTAATATTACTCATGCTTCTGATTCACGCTCTCTTTGGTATAACTGTAGGGCTGCAGTACTTTTACATACGTATATTTATTTTAGGGAAGGAGAGGCTACCCCGAGTGGTGCTCAGTGCTGACTCCTAGCTCTGTGCTCAGGGCGGACTCCTGGTGCCTTGGGAGACTTCCTGAGGTGCTCTTCCTCTGACTCCCATAGTTCTATATTTGTGACTCCTTCAGTACTTGCTCTAACTGAAAACTTATGCTATTTCATTGTTTTTGTTGTTGCTACTTGGTATCTAGCAAAATAAGATAAAATTGTTTTTATATTAAAAATAAAAAACATTAAAAATTGGAACCAGAGAGTACAGTGGGTACAGACTGTGCCTTATATACAGTCTACCGGGGATCGGAACTGATACCATATGTTCCTTGGGGCGTTTGGTTCTCCAAGCACTCTCCAGGACTGATCCTGAGCACAGAGCTAGGAGTCAGCCCTGAGCAGAGTCAGGTGTTGGCTCCAAATAGACCAACAAAAATCACTGAAAATCATCTCAAAAATCGAAGCTGGAAACAAAAGATGGCAATGTTGGAGGGTCAAGGATGTGGCTTTTGAAATTCTGAGAAAATGAGAGCCAAGTCAAGGTCCCAAAACAGACCTGCCCTCAGCACAATGAGGTTGTGCTGATTTTCGGTCTGAAGTTTTGAGGGGAGCATGAGAAATGTTTACAGACTCCATGAGAATCCATTACAAGAAAGGAAAGTTTATGCTAATGAATCATTTTTAGTCCTGGGAATCTGGCTAGAACATTGTGAGATAAATTTATCTCATCTACAAAATGAGAATAATTTATCTACTTAAAAAAAACAGCAAGCAAAAATAAGCAAAGCAAGTGGAGATAGATTATTGAGGGGTTCACCATGTGCTTGACATTTTGAAGTTAAACTATCACTTACATTCCTACCCACTAATACAGACTTTGCTTTCTGACGCTCCTAGACTCTGAATTCAAGTGAGTTGCACTGCAGGGTTGAGTAAATGCATGTGATGATTATGGTACCTCAGCACAAGATTTATAGCCACACAACTCATTGTAAATGCAGTCCTCTAAAATTTACTTTCACCACTTATAAAATCAGGCGATAATAGTTGCCTATTCCCAAGTTTATTGTGAGAAACAAATTGCATAATGCATGGAAAACACTTAAGAGTTTCTCGAGGGTTAGAAGCAATCAATGGAAGCCAACAGTAATTATGAACTTTTTTTAGAACTATGTATGATAAAATGCCAATGTCCAAAAAACATTCCTTGACAGAAGTGCACATGCAGATTCATACACTCAGAATTTAAGAATCAGTGGCTTCTAGTTTGAGACAAGATGATTTTTTTCCAGTTGCAGTTTGTCCTACATGGTTTAAGAATTATGATATGTGGGGCTGAATGATAGATAGTACAGGGGTTACAGAATATGTTTTGCACGTGGCCAACCCCGGATTAATTCCTGGCATCCTGTATATGGTCCCCTGAGCATCTCCAAGAGTAATTCCTGAGCATGGAGTCAGGAGTAAGCCCTGAGCATCTCCAGGTGTAGTTCCAAAACAACAACAAAAACAAACAAACAAACGAATCCAAAGAAATAACAGTAATTTAATCCTAAGAGTAACTAAGCATATAAACTCACACACTCACATGATTCGGCTCGGATGCAATGAGCTATTTTCTATCATGGCCATTGTATTTTCAATGGTGATCCAATCGATTTAGCACTACTTACCAAATATTATCATCAGGCATACCAGGACAGCGATGGCCACCTGTGTCCTGAGTGCCAGGGAGAGCATGAAGCCCGCGTTGCTGCAGGCTTCTGTGCTGCCGCTGTCGTCACAGTCACAGACGTATATGGTCAGGGTGTTTGTCCCCGTCAGTGGTGGGACACCATTGTCAGCAATTAAGATCGGTAAGTAGAAGACAGTGTCTTCTAGAAGGCTGAAACCAGTTCTGTTAGTCAAAATTACAGCCGTGTTATCTAAAAACAAAAAGCCACACATATCATTTTTCAATGATATACGAGATATTTATGCCACACTACTATGTCATAGACACCAGAAGCAAGACTATAGAGACATTAAATAAGCTGAAACAGGAGCTGGAGAATTAGTACAAGGGTTAAAGCCACTTGCTTTGCTGGGATTAACCCTGACTCGATCCCATGTACTGCTAAGTCCTCCAAGCAGCACTCTAGTGACCTGACCATAGAAATAGGAGTAACCCGTGAGTCCTTCTGGAAGTGGCCCAATTCAACTACAACAAACAATATTTTAAAAGAATTAAGATCAAAGAAAAGGGAAAAATAATTTCTAGTGAAATGAAAATTAGATTTCTTCAAATAGACAGATGATTTTCTAATCATGGACATTGCTAACTCTAATTATGAAATTACATAAATCAGTCTCAATATATACTTTGATAAAAACAGGTAACATCTAAGTGCAACATAGAAATGAAACGTTAAACTCAGATACCAGTACATAGGGGCTCCTAGAACCAAATTTAGGGTGATCACAGTAGTTTTATTGTGTTAAATTCCCATGACACAGTGCTTTTTTCAACCAGGAACCCATCATTTTCCTAACAACAAAAAGCACACAAGATTTTCAATGTCACATACCTGTGATAGCAATTGATCTCTGATAATAGATTTACTAATTATTAATTTTTCACTTGTCTTGATAGAAAAGATCATACTAGAATTTTTGGTTTCACTTTGAAATTATCCATCTATTGTCTTTTTAAAATTCAGAAAACCATCAATTCACTTATTTGGAGAGAACTTTCAGAAATTAACAACATATATATACTTTATGAATACGAGAGCAGTTAGGAGAGAGAAGGGACTACTATGATAATGATGGTTTAGAATGATCACTCTGGATAAGAACTGAGAGCTGAAAGGAAGTAAAGGGACAAACATGATAACCTTTCAGTACCTGTGTTGCCAACTACAATAACCATAAGGTGGGGGGTGTCTGCCATAGAGGCATAAAAGTGGGGGGTGTAGTGAGAAGAAATCTGGAGACATTGGTCGTGGGAAATGTACACTGGTGAAGGGACAGGTATTGATTGGAACATCGTATGACAAACCCAATCATGGACAACTTTGTAGCTGTGAAATAAATACAACTTTTTAAAAATCTGCGAAAAAAATAAAAAAAAGATAGTCCCCCCAGACCTTAAATATTCTAAGCTTTTCACTCAATTTCTTTTATCTCAATACTATTTGTTCTTTTATTTTTATTACCATCTCATAAATGCTATCTGCAACATTAAATCTTTAGAAAACAGTGAGAAAGTAAAATGCAAATAATGAAAAATTTTTTGAAATATATGCCTAAGTAATATTTTCCCAGTATATCTTTATTTAAACCTGTCGTCTGTGATTCTCACAGTCTCAAAAACTCTTGTACTTTATGTACTAGACATGTTTTTAAAAAACTCAATATTTTTCATTTGTTTTTCAGGATAATTTTTAATATATTTTAAATCACTAGTTCTCACAAAGCCATTAAACAAAATAAATGATTTTTAATGATCTACTATATTTGTATTGCATCAGTAACATATTTTCTTTTAACAGTGCTACACTTCAGCAGTAGAATCTGGGTTCCTTTCACATGGGAATTTGTCAAATGCAAAAGGATGACAATGTATCTGCTATTATTTTTCAATAAATATAACCTCCCTAGAATGACATGTAAATTTAATAGTGAAGAAAGACAGCTGTGATACTGGATTACAGATGCTAATAAGAAAAATTAAGTTAGAAATCTATACGATAAAAATGTTTGACTGAAAATTAAAGGGTGACATGTAAAAATTAACCCAGTTCCATATGAAAGTAAAACAAGTACTGTCTTTCTACACAATACTCTTTGCAACATTTTATCCTTTAACTTACTAATAATTACATTATTATTATTATTATGTTATTACTACTTCATTTTAAAGGAAGAATCATATCATGCCACAATCATATATTGCTAATTCCTAATAAATGTCTCCAAATACACTTGAATTCAATAAAGTTCAGGTAACTCTAGATTAAGTATGTATCCTTTCTTTCCCAGATATAGATTCATGTTTGAGCTATATATGGACATTAATGAAAAAGTATCAGAACGGAAATTTAGTCACAAAGAATTATGGTCATTGGAGATTAGGAAAAGTGTAAGAAATGGAACTAACAGTTTTCGATCTTGATTTTGCATTGTTTCCCCTTTTCATTGCCTTTCCTTGCTCCATTGTTCAGTAATACCATGTTCTCGGGGTTGGAGAGATAGCACAGCGGGTAGGGCATTTGCCTTGCACGCAGCCGACCCGGGTTCGATTCCCAGCATCCCATATGGCCCCCTGAGCACTGCCAGGAGTAATTCCTGAGTGCAGAGCCAGGAGTAATCCCTGTGCATGGCCAGGTGTGACCCAAAAAGCAAAAAATATATATATACCATGTTCTCATGTTTTGCAACCATGTAAAAGGCATAGCAGTACGTTTCCATGCAAACAAAAATAACAATTACAAAAGAAATTGAGAGCCATTATGAGAAAGAGCGGCTACCTTGGTTATCTATGATTATGAAACTTGAGTTCTTTGTGCTCTCCACGGAGAGATTAAAGTAGAAATGCTGAACTTCTTCCGATTCATCTCTGTCCACAGCACTGATGGTCTGAATTACCTATAAAAAAAGGAATGAAGTTAAAGTTAAATTCCAGTAGGCGGGGGTCACACCCACCACCTGGCCCCCTGGCGCCGTGTAATCCCATCAGCGGCCAAGACTCAGAGATGACAAAATGCAGCTCCCGGACGAGACCAGTGCAGTCAGTCTCCTGCCCCTGCGCCTGGCTGTTCCTCGCCAGGGTCCCTTGGAGGGGAGCGGGTTGAGCTTTCCTCCCCACCCCGACCAGGGCTCCGGCACCCGAAGACCTCCAGGACCAGCCACCACCATGCTGAGACCACTCTCCGCACACATGAAGGTACTGGCAGAGGGACAAAGCCACGCGGGTTCCGGGGCCGAGATCTCCAAGCCTACTCGAATTGGAGTCGAGCATCCTCCACCCAGATCCTCCAAATTCCAGTAGGCTGGGGTCACACCCACCACCTGGCCCCCTGGCGCCGTGTAATCCCATCAACGGCCAAGACTCAGAGACTACAAAATGCAGCTCCCGGAACCGCGCGGCCGCATTCGCGGCCGTGCGACATCTTATCAGAACATCTTTTTATGATATCTCATTATCTCATTCCTACTCTGGACAAACTTGCAGGCTATCGAATATAGCCTGCCCACAGGGCAGAGTCTGGCAAACTCCCCGTGGCGCACCAAATATGCCAAATACCAGTTACAATGATGGGTCTCATTCTCCTAAAAAGCCTTGAATATAATCTCAGGGCTAGGATGAAAGAGACGTTACTGGGGCCTGCTCGAGGCAATCGACGATTAACAGGATGATGAATGATGAATGAAATGAAGTTTAGATATTTTGAATTCTTTCTTTATTTCAACTCTGGGTATATATTATTTCTATTGTTATTGTTACCATTGGTTTTTATTAAAATTGATTTATCAAAATATTTCTGTAAATTCTAGAGTATAATTGTCGAATTGGTAGAGAATAATAATTTTTATTTTGATATTGCCTAATAGATACATTTTTTAATGATTTGATGGTTTCTATATGTGTTTTCTAAAAGTTTTCCAAGTTTCTTATTTTAGATTAATATTCTCTTTTAAAGTTTCTTTCTAGATCTACTTCTTCTTTCATAGTCTCCTTGCCTTTTTAATTGAATACCAGTCATTACGATATATTGAAGTTATCTACTTCCTGGTTATATTGAGAGTACAACAACAATAAAATTAATGACTTGTTAAAGTTTTTTGAGGTTATTTTTTAAAATGATTTGAGAAAATAATGTACATAAAGCTCAGGTGAAATATGCAGTATTTACATTGACCCATAAAGGCCATAAGAAAATTGTTCTACATCAAGTAAGATCTCCATATTTCATATGAAGAAAAATCATAAAGACTGAGGTAGTGCCGTTATAAGCAAATCATTTCTCAACCAGTTTTGTTCTTTCAAGACTTGAATGTGTCAGTCAAGTAGTTATTATTGTCAAAAGAGATATGCTGTCAAGATTGCAGTGAGATTGTGACTAATTCTGAAAATTAAATTGATTATAGAAGTTATTGCTTTGAAATTTCTAGAATGAAAGTGCTTTTATAAATGTGTCAAACAAAAATATCTTTGGTTGAAAGATGATAGACCCCAACTTTCTAATGTTTCTAACTTCAAAGAACAGACATCACGCATAAAAAGAAAAGACCTTGTAAGACTAATGACATTTCTTCACTACTTTTCTACAGAGAGATATATTTTACTACCTCACACATTCACAATTAAATGACCAAACTATGGTTTAATTTAAATAATAAAATTAAAAAATATTCAACTGTAACATTCGCCTACAGTAATAAGTAGGATATCTGGGTAATGTTTTTATTTTGGATTTTATTATGATTTTTTTATCTCCAGAGGAAAGGAGGAGATTTGATCTAATCTGGCTCCTGGTTTTGCCATTTATGAGTTGTTTCAGCTTTAAAAAATTGGAAAGAGTGGGACAGGTATTTGATTCAGTGATAGGGAATGTGCCTTGCAAGGTGAGGATCTGAGTTCAATTCCTGACACTGCTCATTTCTCCAAGGACAAGCTGGAATGTATTAAGTAACTTCACATGTGGCCAAAAGGGAGGAAAGAAAAGCAGGGGGTATAGAGTCAAGATTTGAGATTCATAGATAAGGTGAAAGGATTTTGGCCAGACAATAAATTCTCACACATATCACTTCAGATATCTATCTTTTTGTGTGTGTTGAGATCAATCACTATTCTACTGGCTTAACACATTCAAAATATAACAGTAATTCTATCAACTATAGTCACGGTGTGATATATTAGATTCACAAACTTTCTTCACCCTACGGGGAGGAGTGAGTGACCTTTTATCCTTTAATCCTCTACATTCCTCTGTCCTTAACCCCTGGAACAACATTCCTCCCCTGTTCACACATCCTAACTTTCTGTTGTTTAGCCAGCTGTACATGCAAGAATATACTGTAAAATACAGGGCACACAGCCAATAAACAAAATCAAACCTCTCAAAACAGACATGCAAGGAAATAAGTTAAAATGTTGCTGAAAAATAGATCTAGACCAAAAATAGTGGTTGAAACAAAAAAAATCTGAGTTATGACATGGGGAAAAATAATCCTTCAAAGGGAGACTATAACAATTCATCAGAACTTGAGTAAAATTAAATATTAATTCATGAGAAAGTATAATTCTAACAAGAGAATAGAAACTGAGAACAAATGCAAAAGGATCATATATTAGGTAGCAATCAATAATTTTTGGTCAAAAATGATCAAATATTAGCAGAATCATAAACTTCATTTTAAGTATTTATAATGAGTAAATCTGACTTTAAAGATAATCATGGAACGCATGAGAATCGTTTTTCCTTTCTTACACTAAGACCTTATTTTCTAAAAAATTGGCATAGGAGGGTGGTGAGCTCAACTGTCATACCCAAAGATATCATCCTGACTATAAAACGAGTTAATACTCACTTCTCTATAAACTACAGCATCAGTTTTTTAAAAGTATGCATTATTTTGCCAGCTAGTAAAAACAAAACAGTTACTCCTACAGATTTAGAGACACAATTAAAAATTTTGAGTCTCAGCTATGAGATAGTCAGACTTCTTTGTCAAGACCTATGGAATGATTGGTTTGAGGCCCTTCATGTTCCTAGAACGAGCAGATGCCACTGGGCTACACTAGCACATGACAGGGATGAATGGAGATATTACTGATGCCCGCTTGAGAAAATCGATGAGTAACGGGATGTCAAGTGATCAAGTGATATAGAAGTTGCTTCTAATACATAATGGGACAGTGGCAGTAAAAAGAAAGTACATAAGAGCAAGGAATCCTGTGATATCCCATTTTTGTTTGATTTTGAGCATCTTCAGCTGTGACTCAGGGCTTACTTGTGGCTCTGCACTCAGGGGTCACTCTTAGTGGTGAAACTTGAGGGACCATATGGGGTGCTTGGGGTCAAACCCAGATCAGTCACATGCAAGGCAAGCACCTTATCTGCTGTAATATCTATCTGGACCTTATCATATCCCTTCTTAAATTGATGATCCTCTGTATTATCCTATTTTTTACACTGAAGATGATGAATTAAAAGGAAGGAGACATCTAAAATAAAAAAAAAAAATTGAGTCCGTTTCCTTGCCTGAAGAACTGATGTTAATGAAGCATACTTCCAAGTTCAGTTGCGGAATAAATTTTTAAATAAGATTATAAATTATGATTGAATATATATCTTAAATTAATATAAAACATACTGAGAGTTAGCAGGCATAAATTATCGAAATCTTAAAAGGGCCATGATAATGAAAGCATATTAAATCAAAATTGGAAGTTGCAATAAATGAATACCTGAAATGAATTTTTTTTTTAATTTTACAAAGAGCATGGAGATGAGATGTAACTAAAATAGTAAAGCATATGCCTTGGGGAACAGACTATGTCAAATAATTTCAAAATCTTGGCCTTCACAAACCATGCAAGTGGGAGGGGTAAAAAAGCAAAAGTGCGGGTTAGAAGTGACATAGGGACAGTGGTGAGAGATACGGGACATCTTAGAGGTGAGAGAGGGATAGAAACTTTATACATCAAAACCATAGCGCTGTAGCACTGTCCTCCCATTGTTGTTCATCGACTTGTTCGAGCGGGCACCAGTAACGTCTCCATTGTGAAACTCATTGTTACTGTTTTGGCATATCAAATACACCACGGGGAGCTTGCCAGGCTCTCCCATGCGGGCAGGATACACTCGCTTGCCGTGCTCTCTGAGAGGGTCAGAGGAATTGAACCCGGGTTGGTCACATGCAAGGCAAACACCCTACCCACCTGTTGTGCTATCACCCCCGCCCATCAAAACCACACATTAACATTATTACAACCTTGTTCCCTAAATGGCAATGAAGAGCACAAGTACATGTCTTGAATACGTGAGGTCCTACTTGATCCCTTCCAAAAGCATACTCTTTCCTCTCTCTACAACATAGGTGCTGCCTCTGAAATAATTTTAAAAGATTCACCTAAAATTATAGTGAACTCTCAAGAAAAGTCAGAGTACTGGTTCTGCCTACGCATACTAGTTTCTTAATGATACACACCGAAATCTTATGCAATATTATTCTACAATGTTAGTTCAGTTAAGAATACTTTGAAAAAAAAAACTTGTTGTCAAAATGATTTGCCTCTCTAATTAGATTGGAGATTTAGACATTTGAGTCAGCCTATATTTGCAAATGCTTTCTCCTATCCTTAAGAAATGAATGCCAATAAATTTATGTGACAATTGTTAGGCATGTCACTCCAGTGAGAAAATGATTCTGAATTAGACCTATTTTGGCAAAAATCAAACTGTAGGAAATAAAAAGTTGTGAATATGTGTTTAAAAAAAATCAAAGTACTAATTAAAAAGAATAAGGGGATTAGGGTCACTGAGAAAATCTGGACCTTATCTTTTTGTTTTCTTTGTTTAGTGTGCAGCTAGGAAAAATCAACAAAATCATTCCAATATTTTGATCTGGACAAAAGAAGA